AATCAAAAATATTCTAAATCTTTATGTAATTTAGAGATATTTATTATATAACTGAGAAATGTTATTGTTTCTCTTTTAACATTTTGGATTGAGGCTATTTCTGTTAACTCTTTTAACAGAGAGGTGTGTCCTGGCTCTGCTCCCATTAGCACCTCACTCTCTTGTTAGTTACCAGCTCTGTGAAAAGGCTTAGTTGTAGAATAGGTTGAATTTTTTCCTGAAATGAGCTTGATGTATTTTTTTGTAAAGTTTCATATATCTTGTGCCGTCCTTATGCCCCATTAAAACATATAATTGAGAATTGATTATACCATCTTTGCTGGTAATGGAATTTTTTGTTGTTTTGAGTAATTATCCATTTGAAATTGATAGTGGTAGCTAAAGTGGAAGTTGCAGTCAGATAAAACTTGAGCAATGATCTGGAGTTGAAATAAAAAGTGACACAGACCTGGGTTGATAATGGAATTAAATAATTACTCCTGACTCCTGGTAGAAAAACCACTGCATCTTTTTCTGATGTTTTTCCTTTTCAATCTTCAGGCCATTTGTTGAAGTCCTTTGTATCTTTGTATTTGCCTGGCTTTCCCCAGTATAATAAATGGCATCTTAAATGTGAACAAGGGGTCATTTTTCCTTGTAGAAAATGTTCTATAATTTATATTTTTAAATAAGCATTCTAAAATTCAGATGGTGTTAAACCTCCAGATTTTAAATTTGTCCTTAAAATATCCTCCCACCATTTCACCACTCCCAGATTTGCTTGTTTCTTGACTCACACTCTGGATGATTTCGGTAACCACAGCACAATTAGAACATCCTCATTCAGTCATGTAGCTGGGCACAAATCTCTCTCAGCTGCTGGGCAGGAGAGTTATTTTTAAATGTCTGCCCTGGCTTTCACATGATCACCCTGAACGCATGGCTGGTGCAGGGCAGCTATTGGAGATAGTTCCAAAACTACTGAATAGCATTTGCAAAACTTCAAGCAGTGATTTTTTTTTTCTTTTGCTTCTTTATTTTTAAAGCCATTTTAAGTTTCCTGATCCAACCCCCTTTCCCCCATGAAGGGTTGAGACTTGATTGGATTTCATTCCAATGTAGAACAAAATGAGATTAAAAACTATAGTACCTATAATTCAGAAACATGGGAGAATCAAATTTTTAATAGCAGAATTCTTAAGAAAAATGAAATGCTTTCAAGTTATGTATCTGTAGAAAATCTTAATTGAGTTAAAAAAGATATTGTTTAATTAAAACCCCTTTAATGATTTCTATATTGATCTTTGCTTTTGAGCTGCTTATTCTGGAATTATTTTTTTTTAAAGAAGATTAACTGAACTTTGAAGTATTTGAAGCATACTTAATACATTTTAGGGTTGACTTATTCTACTGCACTTGGCAGTCATGAGGCATTTGAACAGATACGTTGACAGCTGAAGTGAAACAAATGAAAAGACATCCTTTCAGTTCAATTTTTTTCTCTCATGAGTATACTCTAAATTCCTTGCAGATTTATTAAGGGCACTGAAAGGTAACTAATTCTTAAGTATCTGAGGGGGGCAGAGAGCAGGTGATTTTCATTGTTGTAGTGAGTCTTGATACTTGGTAATATTTCACATCACTCCCCTTTGAGAGCCTGTTGTTTAAATAATGCTGGTATTAATATTGGCTGTCAGCTGTTGGCCAGGGCTGTGTGCTTGGTGATTCACATATGCTACCTTATTTAATCCTGCCAGCGAACTTATGAAATAGGTGTTTTGACCTCCCTTGTGCAGAGGAGGAAGTTGCAACTTAGAGAGATGAAGTTAGTTCTGGTTAGCAATGGAGTTCTGGCTTGGGTTTCTTTGGCAACAGAGGCTGCTTTCCCCGCAGGTAGTCTGGGAGGTGATCCCAGGAAGCAGGAGGGGGAGGGAGCAGCGAGAGTGAGACAGCAAAGGAGGAGAAACTAATGAAGACAGGCATGAATGGAGCTGCTGCTCAAGCCAGCGAGCGCTTGCCCTTGCTCCAGGATCTGTGGGGCGTGTTCAGAACATTCCTAGAATTGTCCATCCAAGGGTGGGAGACCAGGGTACTGGTATACTGAAAGCTGCCTCGTTGCCCAGAACTTCTGGACTTTGCTGGCTGTGGATTCCCTGGGACTCAGAGAATACTCTGCCTGGAAAAGCAGAGAGAGGCATCACAAGGCCTTGAGCTGGGCCCTTGCGCGCATACGGACACGCTGACACTGAGCCCCTCCCGCAGTGGCTGCTGAGAGCAGAGGTGAAGTGACTCGAGGCACCAGAACTGTCTGCAAAAGGATAGGACCAGCTGGGCTTGACTCTGAGACTGAGTCAGACCATTTGCCCACGAACACAGATGTGAGATGGCGGGTGACGAGAAGGGAGGGTGATGCGGAAATGTAGAGAAGACACAGTAATTACAACAGCACGAGGAGGATGCACAGGGAAATATTTTACGTACAATTACATGCAGTCGGGGACATTTATTTTCCTGTTTGTGTTGCTTTGGTTAACATTAGTTTGTATGCCTGGCATAGATGTAGATTAGAATATAAGAAGAATGCCCATAATATTCTAAATATTAGATACTATGCCTGATTTAAGATTAAAACTAAACTCTGTTACTGAGTCCTAAGGTCTGTCCTGCATCTGGGATTATGTTGTATGCAGGAGTTGTGAAGGTGGTGCTGGGAATGTGCAGAGTGAGGAGGGACTAAGGCAGGTCACCTGAGCCACTGTGAGATCTGCTATGTTTTTTCTTTGTTAAAAATTACGTAATAACACCCAAAAGATGTAGACACTCCCCCGCCCCCACCTCCCAGATGAACTGGAGGGAACAATGCCTTGGGCGAAATTGTTTGTTAATATAATTTATCCCAGGACAGTGAAGTAGCTGAAATTTTCTGCAGATCACTAGATTTTCTGGAATAATAGCACCCTGTCCTTTTGCCAAACTTGCTAGAGAAGGGTGTCTGCCACAGGCTAGGTGGTACAGAATAATTGCTTAAGGGAAAGAATTCAGATTGTCCTTTTGATTCTCAGTCACCCAGATTCAGGCAGGGGCTGGAATTCATACAGCCTGTTTGGAGTGATCCCATATTGCTGTGTAATAGATCACCACAAACTCGGCAGTTTAAAATGACACAGATCTATCAGCTCACAGTCTGTAGGTCAGAAGTCCAGGCACGGTGTGACCCAGTTCTCTGCCCACCGTCTGAAGGCTGAAATCAGGGTTCGCCAGAGTCCTAGTTCCTTGCAGTTGCAGGACAGAGGCCCTTTCCTCTTGCTGGCTGTCAGCTAGCTCTCAGCGCCTAGACGCCACCTGCATTCCTTGCCTTATGTTCCCTCCATCTCCACAGCCAGCAAGAGAGCTGGGGTGAAGCGGCCCCAGGGTATGCGCCAGGCCCTGTGTCGCCTCCTCCCTGGCCTCACATCTTCCTCCAGGAAAGGGCCAGTCCCCTCGCGAGCCTGGCTGGGTCCCCACTGGTGAAGTCAGCCCTACCATAGAGCAACACCTGGGCCCGGTAAAAGCCATCTCAGTCACAGTCCTGGGGTGTGTGCAGGGCGGGCACACCAAGCGGCAGAGGTCTGGGGTCCCCTCAGGACTCCGCCTGCACCCCCTGTGAAGTACAAAGGACTTAAGATCCAAAAGCAAATTTATGAAAACCCTTGGCCCATGTACCAAGTGAATAATGGTAGACGCCTGGTCCTAATTTCATTTTTTGTACTCTCCATGCATGGCCTGAGGAAAGGCTAAACCCTTGGAAAGTGTTCACCAGCTGGAAAAATTTAGGCTTTGTGTTTGAATGACCAGCTAAGGTTGATGGTGTTAGTGGTTCTTGCCTGGTATTTCTGACTCAGGCCTAACTGGACAGGTCACTGCCTATTGTATTTATCAATTTCTTTCACATTATATATGTTTAATATACATATTGGGTTAATATTTCTACCCAGACTTTCAGATGAGAAAGGCTAACTGGCTTAGCCAGGTTGCATGGTCAGTAAACACTAAAAAGCCAAGACTAGGTACTTTCTAATATGTCATGATGGCTTTATACTCACTTTTTTGTTGTTACCTCAAAACTGTGGCTCCAAATCTCTTACCATTTTTTTTATTGTGGTAAAACATACATAATTTACCATTGTAACCATTTTTAAGTGTACAGTTCAGTGTTATTAAATACATTATACATTCTTAATATTGTATAACCACCGCCACCGTCCATCTCCATAAGTCTCTTCATCTTGTAAAACTGAAACTCTGTGCTCATTAAACACAACTCCCCACACCCGTCTTCCACAGCCCCTGGCAGCCATCCCTCTACTCTGTCTCTGCAATTTGACTACTCTCTGGACCCCCCATGCATGGAATCGTACAGTATTTGTCTTTTCGTGACTGGCTTATTGCACTTAGCATAATGTTCTCAAGGTTCATCCATGTTGTAGCAGGTGCCAGGACTTCATTCCTCTTCTGGGATGAATACTATTCCATTGTTACACATGCTTGACATTTCTTGAGTGCCTTACTATGTGCCAGGCACTGAGCTGGGTGACAGGATATCAAAATGAATAATACATGGTCACAGTCCTGCAGGCACTCCAAGTCGTTACTATTGCGCTGTAATTTATAAGTCGGCTACACAGGTTTACACAGAGGGGCATGAGGACATCAGGATGGAGCGCTCGAGTCAGCTGAGGGGGCCCGAGAAGTTGGTCTTGAAGGGTGAACAGCCGTCTGCCACTGGCAAGCAGGCGGCCCGGGTGGGAAGGCTGCTCCTGCAGAGGTGTGGAACGAAGGCCCTGACCGCCCTGAGACCGGCCGGACGCCGCAGATTGGGGGGCGAGGCGGCCACTGCACATGCGGCCGGGGCAGCAGCCCAAGTGTGTCAAAGCCACGCGACACCATCCGCGTGGAGTGTGGCTGGGCGCGGCTGTTTATTATACCTTTTTCCTATCTCGGTCCCTTTTCCGACCTTAACCCACGTTATGCTGTTTCCTTAGCTGGACTGGACGCAGAGCACGCCCAGAAGGTCCTGGAAATGGAGCACACCCAGCAAATGAAGCTGAAGGAGCGGCAGAAGTTTTTTGAGGAAGCCTTCCAGCAGGACATGGAACAGTATCTTTCCACCGGGTACCTGCAGATCGCGGAGAGGCGGGGTGAGCTGGGGACGGCTGCTGGCGGCAGGGACTTGCTGTGTGTGGGGAGGGTGCTGGGCGGCTCTCCCCACAGAGAGGGTGTGGGGTGAAGCGGCCCCAGGGTATGCGCCAGGCCATCTTCCCTGGCTTTGTCCTTCCTATCCATCTAGTCTTTAGTTGGAGGTAGTTTTTTTGGAATATTTTTTAAAAGTAAAATAATATAAGAAAAATGACCATACATAATTCTCCAGCACAGAATAATCCCTATTACTGTCTTAGTATGTTCTTTCCAGTTTTTGTGCATGAGTCTCATTGGTATCCAACTGCACGTATGTACAGATTTGTATCTAACTTTTCTTGCTATTGAATAGGGTTCTTCCCCATTATAAAAAATTCTTTGAAAGGGTATGTTTTAAAGGCTGCATCTTCACGGTCATGGCGTATCCTAATAGTTAACTGGCTTCCCTGCCTGAACACTTAGAGTCTCTACCTCTCTAAACAGTGCTGCAAGAAACATCCAGACATAAAGGAACAGACTGATTAGGGGAGAAGTCAAGACTCTGGGCTCCTTGCTGCGGCCTTTGCGTGGGAAGAGCTGGGGCCTCGGGAGGGGCAGTGCGGGTGGGCAGGGCCCGCCTGGGTGCTCAGGGCAGCATGGCAGCCTCGCCCGCCGCCCCAGCAGTGTGGAGCTGCGCCCAAGGGTTCTCCTGGGTGTCTCAGCACCTCCTAGACACCCCCTCACCCCCCAAAGCCTCTTGGTGCTCAGCCTTCCTCCTTGCCCTGGCCTTTGCTCACCCCACCCCCCACCTAGCTCTGTGCCTTCCTGCCTTCCAATTCTGTGTCCCCTCTCAGGAGAGGTTGAAGAAATCAAAGCATGAGGAAGGAAAATAATGTAAAGAAAACAGATTAATAGCAGTTTATCTGAGTGTCTTGGAGTGTAGATGCAGAAAATCAATGATGGGAGTAATGCTGCTTTGACTTCCGGAGGCCAGTACCGATTTGAAGTTTAACATCTTTATCTCCAGGGTCAGCTTTCTCCCTTCTTCTACCCCACTGATCCTGAGCCTGTCCTCGCCTGAGTGATCCTCAGTGTGCGGGCAGGGACTTCAGCGTTGGGTGCTAGTTGCAGACAGTGGCCTTCCATGGCTCCTCCAGGAGGAAGTGGAGGGTTTGCTCCAGGGATTTTTGTCCTGTCATGGGCAGCAGCTGAGAAAGACACTGTACCGCGGGCTGTCATAACAAAACACCACAGACTGCATGACTTTAACAACAGAAGTTTATTTTTGGACTGTGCTGGAGGCCTGAGATGCAAGATCAGGGAGCCAGCTTGGTTGGTTTCTGGCAAGGGCTTTCTCAGCGCGGCTGCCTTCTCACTGTGCGCTCGCGTGGCCGGCGGGGCGGGCTGCAGGGGAAGCTCCCTGGTGTCTCTTACGGGGCCGATCTCCTCATCGAGTCCATGACCTTAGCTCACCCTAATTACTTTTCAAAGGCCCCATCTCCAAATACCCTCATATTGGGGGTTAGGAGTTTCAACACATGAGTTTGGGGGGACACAAACATTCAGACCATACAGATACAGTATAGCCAGCCCCCAATTTTGAGCATAATGAGACACTGCTGCAATGTCTCATGTCATAGAGGAGATGCCACGATGAAGAGTCATAGAAACTGCATGGCCGTTTAGCGTAGCACTTGCTGGGTGTGCCCCCGTGGGCTCGGACGAAGCAGAGAGAAAACTAAAGTGCCGCAGAGGAAGCTCCGGCTGTCTCAGGGAGACCCTGGACAGACAGCCGGGTGGGAGGCTGAGGAGGGAGAAGCGGGCAGGTTCAGAAGTTGCTCCTCCTGTAGACGGCAAGCCTGGTGACAGGGACTGGTCTCCATCCTGCAGGAGCCTCCATGGCCAGCAAAGTACAGTGCTGGCGAATCCTTGCTGGACAGATATCAATACAATATTAAGTAGTTACACTTTATGGTTCTCAGTGTCTCAAGAATAATTTTCTTTCGGTTTCAAGAAAGTGTTGGGTTCTTTTTTTTTTAAGATAAAAAAAAAAAGTCAGGCACATGTTGGCAATATATATGGTTTTGAAAGCATTGAGGAATAAAATTGGAGGCCTTGTGCTTTTTAGCTTCTTTTTTCAGCTCGAGCTGAAAAGCCGTCCACAAACAGTACTCAGGCATTTCTCCACAGGCTATTCCGAGCCATCCTTAGCTTCCCTACCCTGACAAGTCTCGCTGTCCCTTCTTAAGGAGGAATCTTCTTCTCCAAGGATTAATATGAGGAGGTTTAATTTAGAAGAATCAATCAAAATAAAAATTCTCCAACAGTGAGATGGTATTTTGGACTCATTCCACTAAATCAGAAATAGCAGTCAGAATTTTTCTCACTTTCAAAAGCATCCTTTTTTAATTATGGCAAGGCCAGGGGAAGTTTTATCCAGAAAATGAGCAGAGTAAAGGGTGAAGGCACACCTGTGCCCACCTCCCAGAGCGGGGCACCTCTCTGGCTCAAGGAGGGCTGCGGGCAGGGCCCCAGGTGCTGAGTTACAGAGGGGACCTGGCACCTGGCCAGCAGAGTTCTAAGTGCCTTTGGGACATTATTAGGCACTTTCTTAGACCCCAGCCCAGGTCTGACCTTCCACCTGACATGATTCCCATTTTCTCAGAGAAGCATTTTCATTGCTCTCATTTGAATGCTGCGCATCAGGGTATCCTGACAGTGCAGTTACTTGTTAATAGCTCACCTTGGAGGTGCCCTATCTGTGCTTGCGTTTTCTGGCTCTGGGTTCCGCAGTTAGATTTCAGCTTCCTGTGGGGCAGGCCCTGTGTGCACGGGGACTGCAGCTCAGCTCTAGGATGTTCCTGGTGGACCCAGTGTCCTGGGAAGAGGATTGGGTAATGTTTGGGCTAGTGATAAAATTAGCGGTAATATTAGAAAAGATAGAATTAACAGGCAAAATGCATATTTTGGTAATCATTCATGCTCTCATTTGACTTCCATTCCTGAATATATTTCCATTGAATAAATATGCTATAATTTATTCATCATGTATTGATGGGTATTTATTTCCAGTTTGCTTTTTTATTAAAAACAATGCTGCTGTGGACATTTCTATAATACATCTCTCCATACACATGTGTAAGAGTTGCTTTAGGCCAGTGGTTCTCAAACTTGAGCAACACAGTCCCCTGGAGGGCTGTTCAGATATGGGTCCCTGGGCCCCACCCCAGGGTTTCTGATTGTGTAGGTCTGAGGTGGGGCCCAAGGATTTGCATTATCAACAAGTTCCAGCCAGGTGGTGGCTCACACCTGTAATCCCAGCACTTTGGAAGGCCAACGGAGGAGGATCACTTGAGGCCAGGATTTAGAGACCAGCCTGGGCAACACAGTGAGATCCTGTCTATATAAAAAAGCCAGACGTGGTGGTGTGCACCTGTAGTCCCAGCTACTGAGGAGGCAGAGGCAGGAGGATGGTTTGAGCCTGGGAGTTGGACATTGCAGTGAGCTGTCAGCCTGGGCAATAGAGCCAAAAAAGGCTTATCTCTCAAAAAAAAGGGGGTGGGGGAGGCTCCAAGGTGATGCTGCGGGACCACACTTTGAGAACTGCTTTAGGGTACAGAACTGCTGCTTTAGGGCATGTATGTAATCATGGTGATTACTGGTCATAATGACATACGTATCTTTAATTCTACTGGCTTCTGTCACATTGCTTATCAAAACATGTGTACCAGTTGACGATCTCCCTAGCCTTGTATGCATGTTCTGATTACTCTGTATCTTTGTCAACACTTGGTAGTATCAGATATTTAAATTTCTGCCAATCTGTTGGTATGAAATGACATGTTATTTTGGCTCTAATTTTAATTTCCTTGATTGCCCACTTTTCTATTAGTTTGTTTTCCTTTATTGAGCCTTATACTTGTGAATATTGATCTTTGCTGATTATATCTGATGCAGATAACCTCTCTCATTCTGTGCCTTGTCTTATCTATTTTATTTATTTATTTATTTATTTATTTATTTTTTTGAGACAGAGTCTCACTTTGTTGCCTAGGCTAGAGTGAGTGCCGTGGCGTCAGCCTAGCTCACAGCAACCTCAAACTCCTGGCTCAAGCAATCCTTCTGCCTCAGCCTCCCAAGTAGCTGGGACTACAGGCATGCGCCACCATGCCCGGCTAATTTTTTCTATATGTATTAGTTGGCCAATTAATTTATTTCTATTTATAGTAGAGACGGGGTCTCGCTCTTGCTCAGGCTGGTTTCGAACTCCTGACCTCGAGCAATCCGCCCGCCTCGGCCTCCCAGAGAGCTAGGATTACAGGCGTGAGCCACCACTCCCGGCCTATTTTATTTTTTTTGAGACAGGGTCTTGCTCTGTTTCCTGGGCTAGAGTGCAGTGGTACCATCATAGTTCAATCTCTCAGGCTCAAGCAATCCTCCTGCCTCAGCCTCCCAATCAAGTAGCTGGGACTATAGGCACATACTATGACACCAAGCTAATATTCCTATTTTTTTGTAGAGACGGGGTCTCACGCAGGCTGATCAAGAACTCCTGACCTCAAGCAATTCTCCTGCCTTGGCCTCCCAACATGCTAGGATTATAGCTGCCTGCTTTACCAACTTTAGAATAGTCTTTGCAAAATCAGCTTATTGTTAGGCAATCAGCTTTACCCATTTTATTGTTCATGGTCTATGCTTTTGTGTCTTGCTTAAGAAATCATTAATTGCAAGTTATAAGGACATTCTACCTTGTTTTATTCTAAAAGTTTTAAAGTTTTCTATTTTGTTTGGCTCTTTAGTCCACTGCCAGTTGACTTTTGTGTATGTCGTGAGGTAGGGATCTGATTTGAATTCCTTCCATGGTGATAACTATTTGTCTACCTAAGTCACACTGCCTTCTGTCTGTGCCAGTTTCCATTTGAAGAGTCCTTTTTAGGTTCTCTTTTCAGTTTCATTCTTCTATCTTCTACCTCTGAGCCAAAACCATACTAACACTTATTCATCAAACAGTGGTTCTCAGCTGGGTATACTTCTGGCCTTAGGGGACATTTGACAACCCCTGGAGACCATTTTGCTTGTTGTGACTGGGGTGAGGGTGTGCTACTGGCACCTAGTGGGCAGAGGCCAGGAATGGCTGTTAAACATCCTACATTGCACAGGACAGCCCCACAAAGTGTGGTCCAAAGTGCCATTACTGGCAAGGCTGGGAAACCCTATTTTATAGAAAGTCTTGAGTATATTCTGGGGCAATTCCCCTGCCCTTCATCCTGTATGTATTCATACATTCACTTTTCTTCAGAGTTGTCATAGCTATTCTTGGCTGTTTGTCCTTTTGTATAAATGTTAGAGTTTCAAGTTTTTGAAAAACCTTGTCCAGAGTTTCACTGGAATTGCATTCAGTTTCTAGACTGTGGCACAGCGGGCCTCTTACTGGTATTGGTTTTTCTGCGAGTGCACGTTTCTCATCACGTGTTGGGTAGAACTTGCCTCAAACACTGTCTGGGACCAGTGACTTCTGTGTTTGAAGAGCTACCTATTCATTTTACCTGATGGTTATAGAGATTTTCTATTTCTTGTTAATTTTGGCAAGTTTTCCTAGAACTGTCTTTGGTTTTCAAATGTATTCGTATAACATTGCCTAGAGTGCTCTTTTCAATATTTGCTTTATTTGTGGTCAGGTTTGCTTTCACATTCCTAAAATTGTTAATTTTTGCCCTTTATTTCTATTCATGATGAATCTTACCCAGAAAATAGTCAATTTTGTTTTTTCCCCTAAGGAACCAACCATTTTGTTCTTCCTCTCTACGGTTGCATTAATTTTTCCTCTTTAGTTTTGCTTTATTGGGGCATTTTTCCCCCCCTAATTTAAATTGAATGTTTAGGCTTAATTTTCAGTATTCCTCTCTTAATAAGGCATTCAAAGCTATGGATTTTTTTTTTTTTTTTTTTGAGACAGAGTTTCACTTTGTTGCCCAGGCTAGAGTGAGTGCCGTGGCATCAGCCTAGCTCACAGCAACCTCAAACTCCTGGGCTCAAGCAATCCTCCTGCCTCAGCCTACCGAGTAGCTGGGACTACAGGCATGCGCCACCATGCCTGGCTAATTTTTTCTATATATGTTGGCTGGCCAATTAATTTCTTTCTATTTATAGTAGAAACAGGGTCTCACTCTTGCCTAGGCTGGTTTGAACTCCTGAGCTCAAGCAATCAGCCCGCCTCAGGCTCCCAGAGTGCTAGGAAAGCTATGGATTTCTTGTTTATGGTACCATTTTTTTCTACAAGTTTTGATACTTAATAGTTCCTGGGAATTTAACTTTTTTCATTAAGATTTCCCATTTGATGTATAAACTGTGTTTTAAAATAATTGGATATATGAAAGGCTTTCCTAGTTACTTTTTGTTACTGATTTCTAGCTAAATTTCATTGTGATTGGAGAATAAGATTTTGGTTTTCTCTATTACTAATTTTGTGGCTGTCAGGGGTGTATTAACACACGCCTCCCCCAAAATTATGGATGTTGTATTTTCATTGTCATTCTGCCATTCTTTAAAACATAGCCAAAAATATAGTCCTGCAGAAGTTTGAATTATCTTCTTGGTGAATTGAACCTTTCAAAAATCACTATTACTCTTCATCCCAATATTGCTTTTGTTTCCCCCTAAATTCTATTTTGTTTGATACAGATACGGCTTTATCAGTTTTCTTCTTAAAATTGTTTGCCCATTATATGCTTTCCATTTTTTGAGAAAACTGTTAATGTTTTTATCTTTTCATTTCAGGAGTATTTCCTATAAACAGAATATAGCTGGATTTTATCATTTCAATCATATACTCTCTTAACTGGCAAGTTTGGTTTTTTGACATTTACTGTGATTACTGACTTACCTGCCTGGCTTCCTTGTCATCTTTATTTGGTGCTGCAGCATTTTCCTGAAAACTTTTCCTGTGCTTAATTTTAGTCCATTTCCCCCCGACCTTCCCTTTTTAAGAAGATGGCATAGACAGAAATGGGAGCCTGTGCCCCTTCAAAACTGAAGTCAAAGAAAGGCCTAAAATTGAAAAGCCAGAAAGGCCTTGCTGAAAGGCGTCCGTGGCCCCAGAGAAACCCCCCCCACCCCACCCCCGGCCACCCTCAGAAGACTGCTCCTAAGAGGAGCAAGTTTGGGCAGTGGGCTACTGTCAAGTTCCCCTGACCAGCCAGCCTTGTAGATCAAGGACAGTCACTGATGTCCTCTGCCTGGCCACACTCCACTCCACACCCGGGTCAGGTCTGAGGCAGGCGGGGCAGGCCAACTTCCACTGGCTCCTATGTCGCCTTGCATGCTGCCACCAAACATGGGATAATCTAAACTATAATGAACTTTCACCCACCTAAAAGAGAAACTGTGCACTCCTTACCTCCCATTCTAGTGTAGAACTGTAATGAGTTTGTGAGCCTAATGACAATGAGGCTCTTACCTTCCTGCCAGGTAAACGGGGATCCCAGGCAACTTCTGAGCACACCGTCCCCGGCCGCCCGTGTCATTACTGTTGAGCAGGTTAATTGGGCCACAGCAACTCCCCTTGCTGCTGTTCCAAGCTTCCTGTCACTCACAAACTTAGAAGTCTCTGCTAACTATGCTTTCTTGCACTTAGATCTTCCTTCTTTATACCTTTAGTGAGAGTAGGTTCATGATAGTGTTTTTTCTTGGTCTGACTGTGCTTGTATCTTACACTTGATCTTAAATGATATCTAATGATGTATCATTTTAGAGATGACATTTATCTCTCCTCTTTGAACTTATTCTGCTGTCTTCTGGCTTTTATTATTGGTGTTCAGAAGTTGCCTGTCATCCTAATTATTTCCTCCTTTTTCGTAACCTGCCCTTTCTCTCTGGCTGCCTTTTAGAGCGCCTCTGTGTCTCTGATGTTCTTCAACTTCAAAGCAATTGATGTAGGTGAGGATTGCTTTTATCTTGCATGGAATGCATTTTTCCTCTTAAATCTGGGTCCTGAGGTCTTTCAATTCAGGAAAATAATCAGCTTCTTTGAATATAGTTGCTCTTCCATTCTCTTCTTTTGGAACTGTGAACATATGTTAAATTTTTGCATTTTCCACATCTCTTAAGCTCTTTTGTATTTCACATCTTTTTGTTTCTGTGCTGTAGTGTGGCAAATATAGTCTTCTATTTTATCAATTTTCTACTTAACTGTGCGTAATCTTTACCTGTGCCCTTAGTTTTAAATTTCAGTGATTAAATTTTTCCTACCTAGACATTATCTGGCTCTTTTTCAAATGTCTTGTCTGCATTTTTGACACTGTGTTCATTTTTGTACTCCATCTTTTATTTCATTATATGTAAACAGCTACCTGTAAAGTTCTTGAGGAAGGGTGCTGTTTGTTCCTGACCCTTACTCATAGTGATTTATTTCCAGGTATGTTATAAATTCCAGATCGGATTGGAACTGATTTTGCATCAATCAAGGCTAAGGGTGTATCCTTCCAGGGCGCATCCTTTGCATTTGCTTCTGCCAGGCACCGTCATGCGCAGGGTAACAGCTTGTGGTTTTCTGGACCACAGAGGTCGTTTAAATATGAGCTCGGTCCCCTGTGATTCACGCGCAGGCCAAGGCAGACGAGCAGCATTCTTGGTCTCCTTTCGCTGGTGGGCTGCGCTGTTTCTCCCAGCCCGTGCTTTCACCGCAGGGAGCTTTTGGCTCAACTTCCCAGCTTGCGGATGCTCAAACCCTTGTTGCTGTTGGGACTGAGCTGTGTTCCAAGAGCAGTGAAAACTTCAACTGGAATTATAGGATTATACCTGCCTATGACGTTTGGGGGCAACTGCAGGCAGAAAGCAGAGCTCTGTCTGGCGGGGAGGGAGGGAGGCTGCTACCTTTGTGCTGCTGCAGCGACACTGGCCTCTTTGAGACAGCGCCTGCTCCTGCCCGAGTGCCCTACACCCAGCAGCGAGAACTGCTTAATGCAGAGACTGTTCTGTCTGCAGCACCCCCAAACAAAGGGTTGGGAGTAAACAGTAATTGTTATGGAATCAAAAGGTTCAGGTGACCAGTGGTGATGTAGTATGGATGTGAAGTACCAGCCTGGGCTGTGTCATTTAGTAATACTTTGCAGGTCGTTTTGAAGCAAGCAAGCTTGGAGTAGCAGGAGATATCTCATACCTAGATCAGCCTAATGGCAACTGAAGTCCTAAAGCTTTTAAAGTAGTAATAAAGATAAAAAGGTATACTTTCTTGTGTTGCCTATCTGTTCCCAGAGCCCATAGGCAGCATGTCATCCATGGAAGTGAACGTGGACATGCTGGAGCAGATGGACCTCATGGACATATCCGACCAGGAGGCCCTGGACGTCTTCTTGAATTCAGGCGGAGAAGATAATGCTGCCCTGTCCCCTGTCTTAGGTACGGTGTACAGACTTGCATAACCAAGGATTTATTAATACCATTCACTACAAAGAGAAGACGTCAGAATTGTGCGACCTGACACAAGGTGCAAATCCCTAAGCACACAGCCCCCGTCTCGTCCCGCTAACCCCCATTTCCACGTACCTGGGTTTGGTCTGGCAACAGGGAGGCAAAGGAAACGGCGGTGGTTCAGTCACGAACTTTCCTCCAGTAGTGTTTGACCACAGTACAGTCAGCGAACAGGAAGCGTTCTTAATTGTGTTTTACCTCCTTCTCCATCCCAGAAATTAAAGTTGGGTTTTTAATCAGGGACTAAAATTTGGCGATAGGTAGGGATACACCTTGTACCTGGTCTAAGCATTTTTTTTTTTAAACTCTTCCTACTTCAGCAGATATTGATGGAATGTCTGCTGTGGGCATGGCCATGCTGGGTGTTTAGCACTTGGCTTATATTATAAAAATTAGTCGCAAATTGGCTGGGCATGGTGGCTCACGCCTATAATCCTAGCACTCTGGGAGGCAGAGGCAGGTAGATTGTTTGAGCTCAGGAGTTTGAGACCAGCCTGAGCAAGAGCAAGACCCTGTCTCTACTAAAAACAGAAAGAAACTGGCTAGACAACTAAAGATATATAGACAAAATTAGCCGGGCATGGTGGCGCATGCCTGTAATCCCAGCTACTTGGGAGGCTGAGGCAGAAGGATTACTTGAACGCAGGAGTCTGAGGTTGCTGTGAGCTAGGCTGACGCCACAGCACTCTAGCCTGGGCCACAGAGTAAGACTCTGTCTCAAAAAAAAAAAAAATTAGTCACAAATCTATGGGCACTTTTAGCTCCATTTCATGCCTTCCCAAAATTTTGTCTCATGTTAATTTTGCAAATACTTACTGATGCACCAGACCTATGCTAGACCTACCTATACTGGGGTTCAGTTCATTTAAAATTTCATACCAGCTCTTCTGGCTGGGTACAAGCAAAGCTCAGTCCTCCGAGCAGCACCGTGGCCACCTCTAGAAAGTTCTGCCATTACCATGGTTTCCACTTTCTCTAAACTCTTCTCCCAGCAAATCCGTGAAAGCGTTGTTACATCAGGGAAAAGCAGGTCTCGAGTGCATTTGCCCCTGTCCTAAGACAGAATACTGGAAAGTCCTAAGACAGAATACTGGAAATGGGGATTAATGCCGGCCCATTTCTCAGAGCCAAGGAGACAGACAGAAATGGTGACATCATCTGCACATGGAGTTTTGATTTCCTGAACTTATTTAGTTCCCGTGAAACAGGAGAAATGCTGAAAGGTCAGTATTTTCTCTTAGCACTGGTGTCTCTGAATTACTTAAAAGGGTAAAAAGAAGTAAATCTAGACTTATCGAGGTTACATGGACTGCTCCTCAGAGACATGCAGCACTTGCCCCTGGGCCTGTAAGCACACTATTATGCGGGACGTTACATCGTTAGAAAGGTACATTGCATCATTATCTTTCTGTCTGACACAGGTGGCTGGCTCAGCTCAGGGACCCTGGTGTCACTTAGCTCAGTCTCCCAGGGCAGTTTCCTGCACTGCGATGGCCATCCTGGTTCTGCAGGCCCCAGAGCACTGCAGCAGAAACTGTCTACTTCTGTTACTCTCAGCACGCTCAGCAGCTGTCATCGGTGGCCGTTCTAAACTGCAGTGCTTCCATGACGGGTGTTTTTCTGCTTTACTTTGCAGGGCCGGAATCCAATACTTGTCAGAATGAAATTATGCTTCAGGTTCCAAATCCCTCAGAATTACGAGCCAAGCCACCTTCCTCATCCTCGCCATGCACTGACTCGGCCACCCAGGACCCCAGCGAAGGCGGGGAGTCCCCCCTTGTTCAGTCCGATGAGGAGGAGGTCCAGGTGGACACCGCCCTGGCCACTTTACACACCGACAGAGAGGCCACTCCAGATGTGAGTGATGACAGCGACTCTTAAATAGGGCATTCACGTTCTCTGACTACGTTCAAATCAGGTTTCAGCTGTGCACAGAATTCCACCTGTGAAGTCAGGTGGTTTTATGGAGGTTCTTGATTTTTTTTATACAATTGCCAATAACGTGTGAGAAGCTGACTGAGGAGCTAACAATAAAGTTTTGAGGACTTGAAACACTAAACAGAGGGTACAGAGCTAGTGTATACAGAAAGGACACTTAATACACACTTCCTTAAGGCCTGTGTAACTCCCAGTCCCTCCGAGCGCAGCGAAGGTGCTAGGATGGGGGGGGTTCCCCAGAGGCTGGCTGAGCCGTGCACACTCAGTTCCCACCAGGACAGTGAGCCGCCTGCCCTTTCGCAGGCTGAAAGTTGTAGTCTGACTCAACTTTTGACAAAGCTTGGGTTTTCATCTGATCATTGCACAACTGTTAGTCCACAACCAACCCCTACTTTAATAAGAGCACACACCCTGGGCCCACAAGAACAGAAATAAGCCAAAAGCAATACTCCATTCTTGCTCCCGAACAAAACCTGGTCCACGAGATGACGTGTTCCCTTCACCACCTTTTGCAGCCCGGTAAGAGGGTGAGGGGACAGACTCCGTCAGGAATTGGAGTGTGGTGGGGAACCGCCAGCACATAGGGCGGGGCGGCTGCAGCCCGGGACCACGTGGCAGCCGTGTGGTTTGCTCAAAGGGGACCCGGCCACGGCAGATGGCACTGTGAAGTGTGCTGTCAGCCCCACTGCCTGGCTGCAGGGCGGCACGCTCAGCCCTCTGCCCCGAGATCCGAAAAGAACTCGTTTCATTAACTCATCTTCCACAAGACAAATGTCCAAAAAACTTTGTTTTTATTATTAAACCTTGTATTACAAACCTGAAAAGTAAACAAAAAACTCGCAATAAACCACATGAAGTCTTCCCTCCCGAGGGAGGGGTGCAGAGCAGCGCTAATAAATTAAATGTCAAACTGTAAGCCAGAGGCAGAAGTTCACTGTCAAAGAGAGGGAAAAGTACACAGCAAGGCCATAAAAACCGGACAACCACATTGGAAAACACTTGACTCTGTTTATGTCATTGTTAAATATTCCAAAACAGTTCAGTCTTCTGCAACAACAACCAACAAAGTGGATCATAGGACGTTCCTGGCAGTCACCACTGGCAAGCTCAGTGCAATATGGGTAGCTACGGGATTGATGAATCCAATTATGAAACAAAGAACAGCTTGTGAAAACAGTTTCCCTTTTTTATTCCACACATACTGTACACACAACCGGAGAAGGGCAACAGCTACTCCATTATTATTTTTTTGTTGTTGTTCAGTGATGTAAGCAGCACTTATAAATGTTACAAGAAAAACCCTGTAAGCATCCAATCCAACCGATGAAGAAACTGAAATGTAAGGCTTTTCTTCATCTTGTCTTCTCACCCCTCCCCACCCCCCCCCACCAAGAAAAAGGCTCAAGTATTTAAAACAATTTACAGGCGTATGTACAAAAGGGATGGGATTCTTTTTTTTTTTCTTTTTTTTCCTTTTTGTTACAACATGAAGAGAAAAAATAGACAAGATGAGCGCGCAAATGCATTTTCACATTCAAAAAGAACTGCAGACCTCCTAGTGGCTCTAAATGTGATCATAAACGAAACAAATTTAAAAAGAAAGATTAATGCTGACTTGTGAAGGTGTAAAACAAGAAGCAGTGAGATGAAGATGGAATGTTAGAAAGATTGCACATTGATGACAAAGAAGCACTTAATGGCTTCAAATCACTTTTTTCTTTTTTTTTTTTCTTAAGGATGCTATTGAAGGGTTTTTTGATAAAGTAGCCAACAGCACCAAAAAATAACAGAATGGATTTCCTAATGAAATCAGGCACAGGTCTCCCTCACGTGACCCCTCCAAGGCAGGCAGTCGTCGTCTTCCTCTCGCGCTTTCCTTCCTTCCTCCAACAGATGCATAGTGATGTGCTGGTAAGAGAACCTACTCGCTCCATCTCTTCCTTTTGCCCATGGTCAGGAAACAACGTCCGCCTTCAGCTGCCATAACCGCCCAAAGAAACAGAAGGGGGGCTCTCCGGTTTTAAAAATTATAAACTCATCTTGCACATGACAGAAGAAAAAAAGACAGCCAAAGCAAAGCCATTTCTTTTCAAGTTTTTTCCTGTGTGTGTGTGTGTTTGTGTGTCTCCTATCCCTTTTCCGATCTAGAAAAATCTGCTCACATGACTGATGGTTTTTTTTAAAATTTGTTCTCCAAACTTCACCCCTCTTCAAAAATGGGTTAAAAAGCCTTTTTTCCCCAACAGTTACAAAAAAAAAAAAAATCAAAAACAAAATAAAACAAAAAGGCTTTTGTCAGCCATAGGGGCAATACAAATTAATACAGCCCCTCAAGGGTTTTTAAAACAGTGAATATAACGGCAGTTTCCAAAATCTGACTGCAGTATCTAGGTATTCTAAGTACAAAAAAAAGTTCAACAATTTAATGCTAAAACAAAATTAGTTCTCTAAAACCAGAAGAAAATCTTCTTTAGAGCTAGTGCAAAGACAGCTTGTATCCTACAGCAAGTACTCCAAACTAGAATATAATAATTACAAAAAAATATATATAAATTGACCACGGGTGTTGGCATCTTCATGATGAGCTCGAAGCACTTTTGGATGAACCGGAGGCTGACAGCCGGGAAGGCGGCACGTCCACGGTCGCTCTCTTGCGGGGGCCTCTTTTTGGTGTGGGTTTACTGAGACAGTTCTCAACGCTGCCGTTTTTACCAGATACTTTGCCACAGATCTGATTGACCAGACTAATAATCTGTTCCTGTTTGGGGGTGAAAGGAAGACACAGAATTAGTACACGAGAGAAGGGCGCTGTCCCCGGAGAACCGCCCAGGGGCGGGTGTAGGATGGAGCTGGAGGCGCGGCTGGGCAGGCGGTCACCCCACGCCGTCAAGCCCGAGACCGCGGCGTGCGGCTCAGGACAGCTGGGACTGGCTTTTACAACATCCCCAGAGAGCCTGAGACGCGGCGGGCTTGAGAACTCATCAGAGCGACACTTCAGAGCGTGGAGGGCCCCGAGATGGGCACCTGAAATTCGCCTTCCTTGTCAGGGAGACACAGGTTTCTCACTTCACAGCCAGTGAGGCGCCTGCTTTGCAGGCAACCTCCCCTAACCTGTTCCTTCATCCCCAAAATAAGAAAAGCTGATGGCACCTCCCTGGGGGGCTAAACAAATGAAAATGCTAAAGTAACAAATACAAAGTCCCATACCGGCACACAGTAAGTACATAATTATTTCCTAAAAGCTGCATTTGGATGTGGGTTTTGACATTTACTTGAGGTGTCCGGACGGCTGTCACCATGCAGCCAGGTCTGTACACGAACACGGCTCAGACAGCGGCTGCTCCTTCTCCTGGTCCCGCCTACAGCACACAGCACGTGTGATCATTTCATCCTCACGACCACCCGGGACCACCACGGGTCACCCCGACTCAGGGAGGGAAGGCCTGGGGTGAGCGCAGCACCCACAGGAGGCGCTAGGCAGAGAGGGGCTGGGGCCCTGGGGCGACACAGACACCCAAGCTCCTGGACTCACTCTGGCTGCCCAGACACAAACCACTTGACCTGGTCTTGCAAATAAATGCAAACACTGGTCCTTACATTTTCTATTATGGCCTCCTTTGTTATTTCCTAAAAGTCATCCAAGAGGACCATTCATCTGTGTCAAAAATTTGTCACTTCCCATCTTAACAGCGAACACAGGAAGGAGCAGCAGACACACGTCACAAGCACATGTCTGGGCCGGGTGGCAGGAACCATGCAGACCCGGGCAGCGGAGGAAGCAGCCCTGTCCCCAAAGCCCTTCCTCACCCGTGGCCCTTGGAAAAGCCCTGGAAAGTGAGGGCAAGAAACAAAGCACCAGCTGGCTCTGGTCACAGAGAAGTCAGTGGTGCACGTGTAACAATATAGGGTAAGTGACAAGCTTCTTCAAAATGAGTTTCTTACATGGGGCAAAAGCCACCTCGATGAGGGCCAGCAAGAGGAGGACGCCATTCTCCCACCTGCATGCTGCTGGCTGGGAGGACAGTGGCCTGCCCAGACCACTGCCCCTGCCGAGCTCGGGGTGGGGACGGCCACAGCCTCACTCGCTGGAATCTTGCACAGCCAGCCTGAGAGGACCAGGCGCCCCAGGAGGCTCACAGTCCTCAGGAACGCAAGCGTGAGCGCAGCTGGCTGTGCTCTGCAAGTTGCCAGAGAGGGTCTTACTCGTATGCTAAGGATCTATATCCTTATATTGCAACCGTGCTCTGACATTTGCTGTTAACGTGGAAAAGCAGGGATAGCAAAGTGGTTGTTGCCTTCACTGCACATGCTCTTTAAAAACAAAAAATATGCAGACAGATCTTTCTCCTGCTTGCTAATCTTATAGTGTAGCCAAAGGCAGAGTCTGACCCACCGCCCGAGTCCAGACGCACCAGCCCCTAGTGGGCCACGCAGGTGCACGCAGCTTGGGCATGGCCTTCCCAGTGGGAAGTAGCGCGCGGGGAGGGAAGGACAGGCTCCGCTCAGCACAGCACCGCACAGCTTGGAGGGAGCCACATAACTCAGGGACACGCACAGTGACCGTGACGGCAGTGCCTGGAGGAAGGCCCAGCGGGGTCGCCACGTGCAGCGCGGGGCTGACGAGGAGAGGGCATCTGAAAGGTGATCCCAAGGAGGGCCCGGGCCTGTTCACAGGCGAGGAAGCGAGCCGTGCCCTGCCAGGGGCAGGACGTGTGTCCCAGGAAGCTGCGGTCTGGCCCACAGCGTGGGAGCGTCACGTAAGCCCGCTAGCAGCTGACCCAGAGGCGGCCCCGTGCTTGCTGCCTGGAAAGGGAGAGTCCTGGGTTCGGGGGCTTCTCCCGCAGCCCCCGGGCGCTGCGCGTTTGGGGAAGGACGAGTTCGCAGCCAGAGCCGGGGAAGCGGACCAACAGCAGGAGGGCTTGGAGCCCAGCCCTGAGGCCACGGGGGTTTGCAGTAAGCGACATGCTATGTGAGGAACAGAAACCGGGGAAGGAACGCAGTAAAGACCGGGCAGGGCACTGAGTGGTGGCACTGGTGGAAGCAGGAGTGAGAACTGGCTGGATCTGGGACGTGTCTGGAAGGCGGCACAATTGTGATTTGCCGTTCGGGAGGGAA